CGGTACAGCCCGACCGGTGAAAAGCACAGCCTGAGCGGTTTGCTGCCGAAGTGTTTGGTTAAACAGCCCAATCCACCCGTACTGACAGATGGATGTGATAATTGCACGGGGTGAAAGGACACTGGGACATTGGACAAAGGGCAACAGAGCTGGGAAAGGGTCTGAAGCACAAGTGCCATGAGGATCAGCTGCGGGAGTTGGGATTGTTCCTCCCGGAGAAAAGGAGGCTTGGACTCCCTGACAGGAGATTGTACCAGGTGGGGTCGGGCTCTGCTCCCGCCTAACCAGGACAGGATGAGAGGACATTGCCTCAAGCTGCGCCAGAGGAGGTTTAGGTTGGGCTCTGGTAGGAATTTCCTCACAGAAACGGTGATTAGACATTGGAATAAGCTGCCCAGGGAGGTGGTGGCGTCACTGTCCCTGTAGGTGTTTAAGGAAAGATGGATGTGGCACTCAGTGCCATGGTCTGCTTGGCAACGTGATGATCAGTCATAGGTTTGGACTCAACAGTTTTGGAGATTTTTTCCAATCTATTTGATTTTGTGTTTCTGTGATTCTCTGAAGTGAACCTGAAAACTCATTCCAATATCATGCCACAATCACCAAAACTGGCATCGCCCCTACAGAGCTCTCAGTTACAACAGCCAGTGGTATATAAAATTAGGATCAACCGAATTTATTGCAAGATTTAGATATGACCATTAAAAATAGTATTTACTCTTTCTGAATAACTGCTCTGATGCACAGGCTTGAATTCTTCCTGTATTAGGTTAAGTTTCCAAAAGAGAACACAAAATGTGTGAAGCATTAGGGCTCCTCCAAAACTTTGAATCTATATTTTGGATTTTACTCTGCATTCAATAAGAAATCCTCTTAACTAAGACCTTGACCTTGCTACAATACCTAAGCATCTTTGTTCAATAGCTTCCCTTATCTGAAATCACTTAGAAAGGTTTTTTCTTCCAGTTCTATATACTCATAACTTAACAAATACTAATGAGGAACTCCATAGCAATTACTTTCACCTAGAGTTCTTGTACAGTCTGACAAATGCCCATAGTTATCATGCCTGGCAGTGTACTTGTAGATCATAATCTCCAAATAATAGCTGGGTTAGTAGCTAAGCTTCAGGAAGTTTCTTGTAATCACCCTTCATTCAGATTTTTAGTCATACTTATTTGAGAAGTTCATTAAATTACAGGTTGTGTTAGCAATCCCTCCTGTCTCTAAGTCACTGGCCATTGTTTTGATGACTGATAAAAAGTCCAGAGATTTCTTCAGTCCATACTCACACAGATACACCATTTCAGGTGTGCTGAACAAATGTTTCTATGTCACCTTCTTCACTGACAGAAGCAAAAAAATAAAAATGCAGTACTGTTTTCTTTGCTTATTCAAAATAGTACTGTGTTCAGAAATTTTCATCTTCAAAGTTCAGACTCTATTTTTAAATCTAAAATAACATCATTGGTGCCAGAATACTTGTTTTAATATGTTTTCCTGGTGTATTTGCTTTCTGAGAGCTTTTGCTCCCTTTAATGAATGGCTCAACCTAAGAGCTCATTCCTTCATGTCTTTCCTTTTTTCCCTACTAGTCCTGCACTTCTCTCTGAAAATCCTGACACATCACAATGCACTAATTATTTAACTCTCTCTCTAGTTAGCTCCTTGCTATCTAACAGCACATAAACCTCACCTCTCC